TTGTCTCACAGTCTGGAGCCTGGAAATCCGAGACTAAGGTGTCCACAGGGTTGGCTCCTTCTGGGGGCTGTTAGGAAGGATGAGATCTATGCCTCTCTTGTAGCTTTTGCTGGTTTGCTGGCAATTTTTGGTGTTCCTTGGCTTGCAGATTCATCACCCCGATCTCTGCCTTCATTGTCACATGACTTTCTTGTGTGTGTGTCTGTCTTTGTGTGATTTCCCATTTTTATAAAGACACCAGTCATGGATTAGAGCCCATCCTAATTACCTCATTTTAACTTGGTTACCTCCATAATTCTATTTCCAAATAAGGTCACATTGTGAGGTACTGGGGGTCTAGGGCCTCATACGTCTTTTGGAGAGACACAATTCAACGTATAACCGTATGCATATGGCTAGCATATAGGATGTATGAAAAGGTGGAATGGGGAACAGAGGAAATAGAAACACTCATAGAAATGGGAACAGAAAGATGGGCCTAGATACTTAGAGGTAAGTCCTTTCTAAGTGGAAACAAAAGCTCGTATTCCACACATGCAATTTAAGATGAGTTTTCCGGATAGAGATCAGTATTCTCTATCTGCAACCAGAGGATTGGGTTCTGTGCCACGAGTAAACAGACTTATAGAATGTGGGGCGGTGAACTTGATTATTCAATCTTTAGTTTCTCAGTTCTGAAAAAGAAATTTCCCAAAAGTAACATTATTTAAAAAATTAGAATCATGGAAGTGCAGATATTAGTTAAGTTAAACTACTGCAATAAAATAAAAAGACACGAATCCTGGAGCTCAGATTTTTATTTCGTTTCTTTTAAAGTACTGTATTTTGCTATGTATAATGTGTGTGCATGTTTTGTGTGCATTGTACATGGGATTATTTTACACATTGTTATGTCCATGGTATATAATCATACCCATGTATAATGGGCCTCCTTATTTTTCCCTCAAAAACTTGGGCAAAAAAGTGTGCATTATACATGGCAACATACATAATTATTCACTTAACTTCAACCATTTTGCTTAGCAGTTTGCTCATGGACAGCTCCCCTTTCTCCATCCCTGCTTTTTCTCCCAGTTTTTCAAGCTTCCTGGTTTTATTTTCTTGTTCTTCCACCCTAAGGGGCTTCATTTCCATGACTCTGGAAAGAACAGCCCCTGGCCTTCTGTTACATCTGCTTTGAACTCCCCAAGCCCTGTTTGAATCCGGTCACCACCTACTTCCCTCCCACACCCTGACTGCTGAGCGCCCTGGGTGTCCCCCAGCCCCAGCTGGGCAGCATAGTGCCCCCTAGTGTATGGCTTCCAGACACAGCTGAGCTGTCTGTGCTGCTCGCCAAACTGGAAATGGGAGCCTTCTCCCCGCCTGGGAGAAGCCTTTCCAGAATTCCAGTCTCTTCAAGCTCTCCTTTCCACTGCTGCCCTTTTCTGTCAGCCAATGGCACATTTTAAACTTCACAGAGAAACACATCTCTCTAATTTCTGTTTGGATATCTTCATTAAGATTTGTGAATGCTTTTACCGAAAATGTTCACATCTCTGCAGCAGGTCTAGTCCTTAGGTTGGGGACATTGCTTGCATCTTAGTTCTTTTCTTGGACTTTGTCTGATCAGCTACTTTTGACATTTGTTCCTCTTTCTCTCAACGGCTCCTTCTAAATATATCATAAATAAATTCATATCTCTCTCATGTTAGTATATTTTTTAAGGAATACTTCCAGCTCTCTCCTTCATTGTTCTCAGGGAGAGAAAGAAGTAAGTAATCTCTACCTCTATCCCACCATTTTCTTTGAGTGATTCTTAAACTTACTTAGGTGTGGATACCAGGCCGACTGCCCCACTGATCCATACCTGCAAATCCAGTGTCATTTTTAGTCCAGTTAATATTCACACAATATGTTGGCTTATTCAACAGCGTCCTTGGGATATTCCTCAAGGACTTCCACAAAACATCTCCTAAGTGGAACTTTCTTCCACTAAGTGGAACCTATTCTTCCTCCTGTTCAGTGTCTTGGTGAACATCACCTGACAAGCCAAAAATGTGGGTATCTTCTGATATGCTTTTGTCCCTCTGCTCTTCTATATTTAACTAGTTACCAAATCCTTAGCTCTCTTGTGTGCATTCTGCCTCTCCATCCCTGTGGCAAGTGCTGTGGTTAAATGTGCATGATCTTTCACTGGGCTATTAAAATAAATTTCAAACTCATTTTTACATTTCTTAGAAGCTTAAAAACAACATTAACTGTTCCCTCGTGGCCTAGGATAAATCCAATCTCCTCAGAATGGCATTAAAAGGCTTTTCTCCCTGGTTTGACTGATGTCTAAATTATCTCACCGCAGGCTCTCTGACCAAAGCTACAGACTGTTTCTTCAGAAAATTGCACATTCCCCCATGCACATAAGCTCACACTTTCTTGTGGTGATATCAAGGGTGTGCACAGACTCCCTGAGATCTATGTATGAATGCTGTGGTCCAAACCAATCTCTTGCCACATTCTCCAACACCTTCAGCAATGCTGAAAAACTTAACCGTCCCCCCTAAGTGCCACATTGTTCCTTGCTTCGTGATGCCCCCTCACACACCTCTGGCTGCCTCTTTCACTTGAGGAACAGAAAACTCACTCATCTTTCCTCTGCTTTAACCTGAGGTCTCCCCTAGGTTTATACTCATTTCCTCCTCACACACAGGCCTGGGTTATTCCTCTTCTTTATGACCTTGTTATATATGACTTCTATCAAAAAAAATAATAAAATAAACCTACAGTAGACAGTATAATTTAAGGCCATAGAGCCTTGAAGTGAGAATGACATGGGTTTGGATGCAAGGCAGGAATGGATATATTTGGTAAATAAAATACATATCCCTTGGCCCAGGTACTGAGATTTTAAGGTTGAGGAAGGGGGACTTTCTTCTGTCAAATTAGTACCATTTGAGATTTTCTGGTGGAAAGGGCATTTAAATTGGTTTTAAAAATTATAGAGGATTTGGGAATGCAAAGATTGGATGTAGAGAAGACGATTGCTAATTCTCAGGACTGGGGGACATTTACTAAGCTGCTTTGAACTTTAGAAATTAGAGCCTTGATCATATCAAGAAATTGCTTTTACAGTACTATGTTAATAACAAGAAATTAAATGTTATATGATTCATGAGACCGCTGACCTATTTCTTCATTTTCTTATTAGTAATGTGATTTTCTGGAATTCATGCTGAGTTCATTTTTCTAATTGTCAGATCATTATGTTAATGAGTGGTAATATTTGAGACAGTTTTTTATTCGATTTTTTTTCAAAGTCTGACCTATAGGAAACTCATTAACAGAATATTCTGTGGGTTAATAGGCTTGTGGTTCACAATAGGATGGTAAAGGCTCTGAGAGGTTCTGCAGTAAAGAAACTTCTCTTGTTTAACTCTCTACTTCACAAATTATTTGACCATAGAACCCAATTTCCATAGCTATTACTATGTCAAAGGACTATTTCTCTATACTTTGGAGAATTATAATGAACTATGAATATTCATCTGCTATGAACTCTCCAAATAGAAGTATTTATTAAGCATCCAAGTTAAGTTATTTTACATTGTTATTCACATCTCAGAGATTCCAAAACACTCCTTAACTCAGAGTACTTATATCATAGGTCATATATGTGTGTTTAAAATATCTTTATTAACCTTTTATAAGGGAAGTATTTTAATGTATTACAAAAATTATACTACAGTATCACAGATCTTTTGGAATCAGAAGATGGCTAGATTTCAAATGGTTTTTCCCTTCACAATTTATTTGAGGAAACTGAAGGTTAAGAACTTTATAAATATCATGGAGAGATTCTATAGTGGAACCAAGGCTTAATGTGGATATCTTGAACAAGAGCCCAATATACTTTTGTGGCTCACTAACCTAATTCATTGCTTAATAATATAGTTATAAATAATGAAACTGATACTGTTTGTGGTTACAGATGAGCTTTGATAACTTAAGATTAGGAACAAACCTAGAAGTTTATGTAAATATCCAATTTCTAATGTGTAAACATTACTAAATTTTGTTGAAGTAATATTTGGCCTAATTGAGAACAAAAACTTTAAAATAATATAGAAATAAAATTGTAATATTCAGAACAAATATTTAAATGTCTAGAATTTTGGAAACGTTAACTCTACAAAACACAAAATATAAAGTGGAAGTCAGATTTTTAAAAAATTTTTGCTTGGTTGTTTAGTTTTTCCCTTAATATGATTTTTTTTAAAACATGAAACCACTCTTGGGGATCAAAGTCATTAGGAGAACACAACAGATTTTGCTTATTAGTTGATTCTAACCAGTTCTGTGGTTTAAGCATAAGTTGTTTTTTTTTTAAGTCAGACGCATTTCCATCTGTTAGTAAATATTAAACTTTAAAATTTGTTTTGACTATGACACTATATCATTGCCTCTTCCTTGCTAACTTTGAAAAAATTAGGAGATATTGTGCCCTCAATCAACCATATAAAAATAAATTTGAAAGAGGAAATTTATTTTATCCTCTCCTTATATGAAATCACTCTTTTTTATTATACTTTCAGTTTATTCCTAAGAATGCCAGGTTATAATACAGAGTTTGAAAGCTGTCAAGGTATAAAGACACATGATCCTATACTTCCATTACTTAAAGAAAGTGAGTATTTGTGTGTATATAGAAAACCTCTTTAAGTTTGAGAAACACATCCAGCCTTTTCAAGATTAAGGAAATAACACACCACTGGTGCTATTTTAACTAGACAGCATTAGGTGCAAAATGGAAGTCCAGTGGACTTGGCTCTAATGTCTGCAGCTTTATCACCATGTGCAGAATTAAAGTTGCAAAGTCGAATATGACTATAAAATATAAGAAATAGGCAAATTTGCAAAAGACTAAGATATATTTGCTTAGGTGTACACTCAGATGTTGAATCATTAGTAATAGTATGTGTTGTGTGGAGAAATCCTGTGTGCAAATTTAAAAATTTGCTGTCTTTCAGGTATTCTACCTCCCCCTGGCACTCTTCGTACCGCCTTCAGTGTTCGCCGTTCATCTTCAGTTCAACCTCCTCTTCCAGTTTTGGATCCACACCGAGGTAAATCCTTTTGGGTTTTTGTTTTGTTTTGTTTTGTTTTATATCTAAATAGCCTGAAGCAATGTCCTGGAAATCCACTAGCAGCTGATTTATTGTGTAAGAAAATCTTTGTCTGCATTCTTTAAGGAGAAACATCTGTTCATTTTTATTCCTTTTTACTGAATATATATTGCAGAGTTTATAAGAAGCAATGAGGCCAGTTGGTCCCAATTAAATAAAACCATTTTTTTGAACTATTAAGTACCAAAACTTTTTAATACTTTATTCAATACAATATCTTCCTGTATTACAGTTTATTAAACATTGCTTGCCAAAAGATGTTGAAATTTATTTTAACATAAAGACATAAATTTATATACATAATTTATGTATGTTTATAAGTATATATTTACATATAAATATTTATAGTAAAATTTATTTTTATAATATAATTTTAATGTAATTTATTATTATATATTAGTAAATATGTACTTACACATATATATATAATATTTACAGAATATATGAGTGAGAAGCCCTTGAAAATTTCTTGACAAAATTTGAATGCCTAAAAAATTATAAAAACATTTTTATTAGAAATCTTGCTTTAATTTTAGACTTTGAATTTTATTTAAAAAGTGTTCAATATGTTGTTGGGTTTTTTTCCCCACAAAAGTGAATATAATTTCTTGGGTCTTCTGTGGTATCTCAAATTGTCAGACTTGAATGTCTGCAGAAAGACCATTAAGCAACTGATTGGTTTATGAACTATTGTACTGATCTGGTTGTTAAGCAGCAAAAAAATCGCAGGCCCCCAAAAACCCTTCCTTCCACACATGAGAACCCTTCCAAGCATGTGGTATTTATTGGAAGGCTTTTGAAGTCCTGTAGGAAGCACGTTGACAAGTGTTGCAACTGGTTGAACAATACCGCAAATCACAGCTGCGTTAGATGCCAAAGCTTGGTGCAGCAAAGAGCATTATTTCATGAATATGCAGCGTTTTATGCTCTCAACTTCCTTGGACTAAAGAGACTGCTACCATGACTTTGGGCATACGTAGTACTATTTGAAGATCTGTTGTGAAATAGAGTTGAATTTTATGCTTGTTGACGTACATCGAACCATCAATACTACAGCTGTCTGAAAGAGTTGTTGAGACCAGTTCTAACTCTAGGGTCAAAGACCAAATTTGTTTAAATCAGTGGAGGGAAGCTTTCTGATGATTTAGATGGAGGGGTTAAAGGAGAATTACATTTTTATAGCAGCTCTGCTCCAGGTCATGTCGCGTGTCGGGTCAGGTATTAGTTTGGATACAGAACAATGGTTCCCAAGTAACATCTGTCTTTTCCTGTGTACCTCTAAGAGGATCACTAGCCAGGCCTTGAGTTCCAGCTCAGGAAGAAAGGGAGAGTTGAGGAAAGCCAGCGGTGCAGCATTTCTTTTAAGCTCAGAACCTCCAGGCGGCTTTACTTCCAACTCAAAAGCAAGGCATTAGAACTTCTCACCTGTTTTGTACAGGGTACTTTTGACTGTGCTCTCCAAGGCGCCCTTACTACAGATGAGCTGCACAGGAAGCAAAAAACACAGTTTTTGAAATTAAGGTTTTGATCTTTAAATTACATTATTAGGTGTGAATATATTTCTAAGATTTTTTTTTGCTGCTGTGTATTTAATTACATTTATTGTTATGGACAGCATGCTACCATTTGTTTACAAATAGTAGAATTGTTTAGGAAGTAAAACCAAGAGATTTGCAACAGTGGCTGCTTCTAAGGGGCAAGTGAAATAGAGAGCTGAATCAGGGAGAACATAACCTTTATTTAAAAAAATATTCTTACGTGTTTGAGAATTTTTTCAAGGGTTAATACACATTAGATTTTAAAATAAAATAAAAATGGAAAACAATGAACTTCAGTTTAAAAAATACCCAGTTTATGACTCTCTAGGCCACTTGAGCACTGCTTAATTTCAGGCATCGTACCTGGGGATTCATTCACAGGAACAGCATACAAACCATAGACTTGACAATGCTGGCCAAAGAGCTCTGCGCATTCCTGAATGGAGATTTGATTCATACAGCTGCTTCACTTCTGCTGACCTCCATAAAATCAATTCTCACTCTGAAGGGAAATTGGCCTTCAGGAGGTACTGATGTGCTCAAAGTGAAGAAAAGTTCACTCCCTTCAATCAACCAGGTTAAGATAATGGGGGGCGGGGGGACCTAACAACATGGTTTGGAAAGATTGTATATAAAAGAAAAAAAATAAGTCATAAAACAAAGTAAATGGTTTATAATGAAATTTTTATTACTTTTGAGTTACTTTGGTGAAGAAACAACAGCAACTCTTCCCACCCTGTCTTTTGCAAGTTGCAAAAGACTCTGCTTGAAACTATCTTCTGTTGCTTAATTTTTATGACTGTATTTTTTATTGTTTTTTTTTATTCATTTGAAATATCTGTAGCACGTAGTCATACTTTTTCCCTGTGATTATACTAAAGGCATTTAGGAAATCTTTTTATTGAATACATGTTTTTTATTTAATAAGTGTGGAATGTTACTGTTTTTTAGATAGCGTATGATATTTGTGTGTGAGCTGATTTATGCAGTATAGTGGTGTCAGTAACGTTACCTTTCATTTTTCTCAAATTAACCATCATGTTGTCCATGTACTTATCAGGTGATCTGGGCAGAGAAATGCGACAGATAAATAATTCTTTGGTATTGAAGATTTGAACCATATAATTAAATGATTTTAATGGTGCTGAACTGAAGCCCCTAACTGGAACATTATGAGGTTACAAACAAAATGAGAAATCTCTTTATCTACTAATACAGGTAGATCTCCCAATAAGTAAAGGTGCATGACAACATATTATATAAGCCACTATTTATGTTAAAAAGGAAAATGGACTAAACATTTATATATGTATAAAATGTCTCTAGAAGTACACATGGGTACGCAGCTATATTTTTCTCTTGGGAAGCATACTGGTGGTAGCTGAGAGTATTAGAATGAGATATTAATATAATTTTACTCATCCTAATGGATGAAAGGCTATCTTGTGATAATATTTCTCTAATAACTAATGTTGCTTAGCAGCATTCTATGAATTTATTGGGACACTCATATATTTGCTTTAGCAAACTGTCCAAGATCTTATCTATTTTTATTTGCCTAATTTATTTGTTGGAATTCTTTATATATTCTAGATATAAGTCATTTGTCAGAGATATACACTTTAAAATATATTCTCCCATTTTGTAACATGACTTTTTATTTTGTTTCTGGTAACTTTTGATGAAAAGAAATTTTGAAGTTAAATTTATCATATTTTTCTTTAGGAAGAGTTTGTGTGTATGTGTGTGCATGTGCGTGGGTGTGTATTTTCTCTAAGAAATCTTTGACTATCACGAAATCTCAAAGAAATTATCCAAGGATTTATTTTGAAAACTTTGAATTTTAATTTTATGTAGAGTTTATGATATACTTGAATAAACTTTGTGTGTGGTGTTTGGCACGGCCCAAGATTCATCATTTCTATGCAAAAACCCACTTATCCCTGCACCATTTGCAGTGCAGACTTTCTTTTATCTATTAGATTCCCTCGGTGATTTTGTAGAAAACACACGGGATCTAATCACAAAACTTCTATTCTCTTCCACCGAGTCATTTGTCTCCACTTATATGAATCCCTCACTTTAATAATCAATAAAGTTTTGTAGGAAGGTTGGTTTGTACAATTTGTAAAGTAATTTGTTTTAAAATTCACTAAAGTTTTTCTTGTGGAAAATTTTGGAGCCTTTGAGCAAATAAAGTTCTATTTCTGTCTTTCCTGTATTTATATCATTTATTTCTTTTTTCTTGCCTTATTGGATAGAGTTCACAGATAGTTTATTTTAATTTAAATTTGGAAAAATATCTTTCCTTATTTCCTTAAACATTACTTCTATATTTTTATTGCTCCCTCCTTTGGAGCTGCAAATACATGTTTATTAGACTACTTGATATTCCCTCACAGATCAGTAATGCTCTGTAATTTTTTAAATTTAATTTTATCATTTATTTACTTTTAGGTTTGATACTATCTAATAATTTGTCTTCAAGTTTGTTTACCCTTTCACAAACTTTCCCCAAGCTGCTATTAAGTCCACTCAGTAGATTTCTTGCATCAGATATTACCCTTTAAGTTCCAAAATTTTTATTTATTTATAGATAGTTTTCATTTGTCTGCTGAGATTGTCCATTTGTCACTTATTATTACTATATTCTTCTTTAAATCTTAACAATAATTAATTTAAAATTCTTGTCTGCTAAATCTAGCATCTGAGTCATATGCAGGTCTATTTCAATTGACTGTTTTTATTTTTTGCTTGATTTTAATCTCATTTTTCTGCTTTATACATCTAGTAAAATTATTATTATTAGCCCGTATTTATAGTAAATTTATTGTAGACTCTAGATTATGTTAAATTCTGCTCACCATTTCTTAATTTTATTGTAAGAAGCAATTAAATAATTGACTAACCATCCTGAGTTTTAGAGGCTTTGATTTACCCTTTGTTAGGAAATGTAGATCTTTTGTTACTGTCTTTGGTCTTGGGGCATATTCTTTATCTTTTGCAGTCTTTTAAGATAAGGCTTACTACAAAGCCAATTTTACTTGGTAGAATTTGAACTCTACCTTCTGTCTTGCCAACAATGGGCAGCAGTTGAAATCTCTACTCAGTAATTTTCTAGCTATTTACCTTCCTGCTTTTCACCAGGTTCCCTAGTGCCTTGTTCCATGAATGGGTTATTTAAGAGTCAGCCAAGACTCTTAATTCATGAGTCAGGTTTGGGGGAGATTTGTGTGCTGATATTGTGACAACTCCTTCTGTGGTTGGGGGGTGGGAAGGGTAGACTTTCCCATTTCAATTACCAGACCTTAGATCTAAGTTCAGTCTCTGACTCCTAAGCTAATAAGACTAGAATTTTCCCACTGTTTTCCTTGCATCAGGACATGCATTAGAACATCCATT